CCTGTACTCAGCAACCTTGCACACTTTGAAGGAGGCACTGTGCTCTCTCCTGGCCTACACCTGCCTGGAGGTTTTGCCCTCTAAATGAGCAATCAGACCTGATTTTAATCCTTAATATCCATTCAAATATTTATCCAACGGGTATTTGCTGAGACTCAACTGTATACCAGGTACTGTTTGGGAGGGGTGGGTACAGAGTCACAAACATGAATGCAGTAAGGTCCTGAAGTATCAAAAGACTCATAATTTCAAGGATGCAAATGAAGAAGCAAAGGATTATAGAAAATGCAGTAGCTAGACTGAACATAGGCATGATGGATCTTATGTGAAGATTGTGAAGGGATATCTAGTCAACCTGGGAAGGATGCAGGACATGGAAAGAACCTGAGAAAAGGAAGAGTGAGAAAAATCCTTAAAGAGGGTAATTTAAATCAAAACTACTTTGAGCTTCCATCTGACATCATTGCTGGTAGGAATGCAAACCTGTACAGCCACTATGGAAATCAGTTTGCTAGTTCCTCAGAAAGAAGGGGATCCATGTACTTCAGTTATACCACTCTTGGGCATATACCCAAAAGATGCTTCATTCCACCTAACACAAGGATATTTGCTCACCACAATCATTGCTGCTCTATTCATATTAGCCAGAAGTTGGAAACAAACTAGATGCCCTTCAATAGAAGAGTGGGTAAGGATAGTGTGATACATTTACACAAGGGCGTATTACCCGGCTGTTTAAAAAAAAAAAATGGTATCATGACATTTGCAGGAGAATTAACAGAACTAGGAAAAAAATCATCCTGAGTGAAGTAACCCAGACTCAGAAACATAAATACAGTATATATTCACTTATATGTGGAATCAGCCTTTAAATCAATAATAACCTAACTGTAATCTGTAGACCCAGAGAGGTTAAGCATAGAGGAAAGGGAGAAACACACAGATCTCCTTGAAAGAGGGAAATAGAATAGATTTTTTTGGGTGGACTGGGGGTAGTTGAGGACAGGAATGGAAGGAGATGAGGTTGTGTGACAGAATAAGGAGTGAGTCAGCTAGAATTGGGGGATATTTGAGGGGTAGGATGGAAACCTAGCACAGCGGAAACTTCCTAAAATACATGAAAGCAATCCCAATAAAGTCTCCCAATAATGAGTGAAATGGAGTCCCAACGGGGCCATTGTCTTGTTACCAAATGAAGTTTCCAGCACCCGAAGTTTCCAGTATCGTGACAGTCACATCTAATTGAGTTGTTGGCCAAAGGGCTCCCGTGGAAATCCCCAAACAACCCAGGCTGTTGCCAAGACAACACATTGCTCCCCACAGACTGACAGTGGGAGCTGTCATTCTGAAGACAACACTCATCCAATTCATTGAACACTGAGAGGTAGAGCTGGTACCTACATAGAACCTTCACCCACATGTTATCGTGACTCTGATATGTGAAGGTACTTTGAAGGCCACCAGAAGAGGAAAGTAAACAACCCAGTGAGAAACCCTTTGGTCTATAATCTCTCCTGTCTGGAAAATACACTAGAACAATCCTGGCACAAAGCCTGTGGGAGCAAACAAACAGTATCATTTAAGGTTCCAGGAGATGGGACCCATACCTAATACTGCTTAGGTGACCAAGAACCAAAGACTAGATAGCCCAGAGACATAGGGTACAACCAAATACTACAGGTAAAAAAAGAATGAGGAGGAAGAATAATAATATAATAATGACTTCTAATGACATTCTGCTATAATCATAGATCATTGCCTTATTCAGTCATCATCGGAGAGGCTTCTGCAGCAGATGGGAACAAATACAGAGATCCACAGCCAGACATTACACAAAAAGAGACCTTGGAACACACAGATCTAAAGAAGATGTTTCCATCAAATCCTTCCCCTCAGAGCTGAGGGAACCCCATAGAAAAGGGTGCAGAAAAAAATGTGGGAGCCAGAGGAGATGGAAGACACCAGGAATAAAAGCCCCCCTAAATCAATAGCAGAGCAAGGCTCATATGAACTCACGGATACTGAAACAGCATGAACAGGGGTCCTACATGGGTGTCCACCAGGTCCTCTGTATTTGTACTATTGCTTCCAGTTTAGTACTTGTATGCAGCTCCTAAATGTGTGAAAGAGTGCGTCTCTGATTCCTGTGCCTTCTCTTGAGGCTCTTTTCCTTCTGCTGGTTTGCCTTGTCTGACTTTGATGTGATAGTTTTTGTTTCATGTTACTATATTTTATTTTGTTAAAAAATTGAGAAAATAGACACAGAAAAATGAAATAAATTTTGTAATTTCCATTAAAAAAATAGAATTAGGAGGAAAGAAGGAGACCAAAAGACAAAGAGCTCATAGTAGGCTTAGGCTTATATAAGCAATGTACATGTATTCATAAAATCTGAAGATGGAAATTTATTTTGAAACTCTTGTTACACTGTAGTTCAACTCACAAAGTTTATGTCTGGTAGGAAAATGTGTAGAAAAGGCATAATGTAGATTGTGCTTACTTAAATGTATTTTATATGTATATATATATATTTTTTTTTCTTTTATGTATAAATAAGCATACATATAAAAATACATAAACTATATATAATTAAATATAAATATAATATAAAACATAGATGCTTTGTGTTATATGTGATATAAATATAAGTTTTATGTATATTATATGATATATTATATATCTATTTATTATGTAATATATAATATATATTAAAACATATTTTTAAATATATATTTTAAATACATAATAAAATATATAAAGAAATATATTTAGAGAGAAATATATATTTACTTTGCAAGTAAGAGGCTTTTTTTTCCTTTTGATGCTGTGTAAGCAACATTAGGAAATATCTGAGGTTTTTGGATGTGCTCCATCACTGCTGGGCACATGGATCCAGTGTGAGATCTTACAGTGGGGGAGCCATGGTTACACATCCTACCAGCAAAGGCAAACTTCCCTATGAGAGACATCCAGAAAAATCCACAAACACTTTCTATAGCACGTATGATCCACACGGGGGGTGGGGGTGTGATGACTAGCCATGCTTCATTAAGGTCTGGGCTAGAGAAAAGTATCAGAATATCCAATACTGCTGAGACATTCTCTTCAAATCAGAAACTTCTACACAAAATGATTGTCTAGAATATAAAAGCAGGAATGCTACAAAGGCATATGTTGTAATTAAAAAAAACTATAACAGACTAATTTGTGTTTATGCTAGAAAAATTTAAGAATATATCTCAAAAATCACTACATGATTATATGTTTGGAATGACTAAAATATCCGTTTAAAAATATAAGTTTACTATGCCCTACGAGGCAGGAACTGCATACTGTTGAGCACAATATCTCTCTCAAAGAAAATGGTTCTTAGCAAGGTTTTTGAATGCATAAATAAGAGAAGGCTAATTATGATTAATAATAACATGGGAGATTTGGCATCAACTGAACATAGACTTGTTCTGTCAATACAATAGGCAAATTAAAAGGACCACTGCATTCAAAATTTGTCAGAGGAGAATGTAGGAATAAGAAAGAGAGATGCAGAGATGCTTCCTTTGGTCAACATGAAAGGCCTCTGGGACAGAGATGGAGGAGACAGCCACCTACAGACTTACTTTCCATGTGCTTCTCAAACAAGTTCACACTGGCACACACATGTGCTAATAGCCACCATGATTCAATTGTCTACAGAAATTAAAGCTTAAAAAACTGCACAGGGAGATTTCAAATAATATGTATGAGCTATGCGTTCACCACGGAAATTTTTTTTTAACTCCAAAATACTTCAATTTTTGTGTATTGTCTTAGAAAAGGAACTTGGAATATTAGACTCTTTTTGAGGTTGCCGAGACGAAAGGTAACTGTTTCCAGTTGATAATACACGGCAGCACTTGTTGCTGATAGGGTCTGCCAACAAATTTCATTATATTTGTCAATCAAATGGTAAAAGTGAAGGGGGAGGAAATCACTGAAAAAAAATCCTAAACAATCACAAACACTTGGCATGATAAATGGTTTTTAGCAGTCAATAGCAAACAGGAATCCTCTTGATATTTGAGTGGATAGAATGCAAGGGTATTTTTTTTTTTTTGCAAAAAACACTCATTTTTTTTTCAGAACTCCAGTCATTTAGTTTCTAGTAGCAAGCGAAAGTAATCACATTATTTAGAAAAGTGGAATTTGATTTTTTTCCTCAGTCTGCAAACAGTACGTGATAAAGTAAGACTACATTGTGAACAACAAAATAGGGACAGCTGCAAAAATTTAAATAAAACACATAAGTTGTAATCATGATGTGCTCCTCCTCCAAGTCAAACATTAGAAACAGAAAAAAAAAATCACCAATTCTTTTGGGACAACTCACTTAAGTGATAGCTCCAATTTTCCCCTAGCAACACCTCTTAATTCCCTTCAACTATTTAAAAAGAGCTGAGAGACACCACCACAAAGGTCACGCCAACTCCTTGGAAGTGTCTATATACAGGCAGGGTATGAGTCTTCTGATTTCACACCCACCTTGCACCAGGTACCACTTCAACTGGCCATTTTGATCTGTGTCCTTTCACAGTCTGGGAAAGCAATCAATAAAATGCTACCTATGTCTGGGAAGCTTATCTAGGGAATTACTGAATGGGAGAGGGAGTCCTGGGAACTCTTGACTTGCAAAGAATTTTGACAGGTTTGTAGAATACCTTGAATATCAGTTGTGGTGTTTGATGGTAGTGCTCAGGTGGACTGGGGCCTTAAACTGTGAGACACAGAATCTACTTATGTTGGCTGAGAAGTGCAGAATCCATTGAAGCAGGAAACAAATCTCCACATCTAGTGTCAGGGGGTTGGAAACGGTCACTTTGTTTTGCTTTCGGCTCTTTGATTATACACTCCCTGTCACAAAGACTGTATTATGGATGTAGATTGTTTTCTGCTTATCTGTTTTAATATAAGAAATTTAAACAGGGGGACAATTTCGTCAGAGGTACAACAATGCATTTTTTTTTAATTAATTTCCCCAGGAAGGAACAAAGACAGCATGATGAATAATCTCCACTGTCAACGTGACTAGATCTGGAATCGACTAAGAGATGAGCCCCTGTACACACTGACGTTGAGAACACCCACCCTGAATGTAAGTAGCACTTCCAGTGGTGGCCCAGATGTACAGACGACAAAGGAAAACATTTTTGCTATTTTGCCTGCTTGCCGAGTTTCATCTTGCTGGAGAGTGTGCATCTACGTTATTTGCAAGTTCCTCTACCCTATTACTGCCTCTACCATCCTTCATCCTCCTTTGCGACTGAAGACTAGGGATGCTCCAGGAGTCCTTCAGTCTTTCAGCACCAGACTGGGACTGCCAAAGCACACAACCTCATGGATGAAGCAGTTAGTGCCCAGCCTCTCCAGTGTGAAGGAAGCCCGTACTGGACTTCTCACACAGTATTCTACAAGCCAGTCTAATAAGTCTTCTTTGTTATAAAAGTATTCTGTTGGGCCTATGTTTCTAGAGGACCCTGGATGATCTATATAGTAACAATGGTAAGAGTATTATGAAAAAAAAAAAGAGTCCTCAACTCCTGATCCAAATCTTGAAATGACTGAGAATCTTTCAAAAAATACATCAATGTATTAAAAAGAATTATTCAGGTCCAAGCCAGGAAAGAAAAAGAGGTTACAAACTTTTGCCACATGTATCCTCTTGAGTTGATAGTTCACAGTAACAGAAATGGGATAGAAAGGTAAGTGACTATATTAGTATTTGAAGCTAAAATTAAAATTGACTAGTATACTTCACACTGGGTCCAACCACCAAGGTATAGAATATCTCAGATGATAACAAAAAAGGACCAGAAACTTAATAAACCATCAAGACCTATGAAAATACTATGGTCTCCTTTTAATTTGATATTTACAATTCATAAGATATCCATAAGTAGTAATTGCTATATAATATCTATAGTAATGTTTTCTATGTGTTAACTATTGATCAACGCAATTATTATGAGTTCTATTGGTCTCCAGCATATAAACATGAAGGGGATTTTAACTGCGCTTACTAAGATTGGAGATAGTTACTTACAGAATATGTAAGAAAGAGTGATCTGCATGTTTGGTTCAACCACTGATGAGCTGTGTGAACCTGAAAATCTTAATCACTAAAAGTCAGTTTCTTCTGCTTCAAATATGAATACTTCCTAGGTTATTTAAAGGCTATGTATTGTTTTAGTACTTGTATGAAATGGGATAATATTTGAGTAATCATGTTTAATTTCTTAGAGATACAATAATTCTACACATACCTAAATTTCAAAGTTAATGATAACTTCATCTCATGAGATTGTGGAGTTCAAGTTTCTCTTCTTTGAAACTGCTTCAGAATTATTTTTAATATAAAAAGATAAAAATCTGAGGAGAATAAAATTTATTTAAAATATCCCACATGACTATTAAAATGCTACTTAAATAAAAGTAGTGTAACTATTTAAGTATGTATATATATCAACACTTTTAAGTGTACACTTGAGATGAGTCTCTGGATTATACTGACTTCTAGTCAAGTCATATGTAAAGACTCAGTCCTGGGACATCTTGGGTTAAACAGTTTCTGAGTACAGGGTACAGCTAATACTTTTTCTTAAAATGAATATTATGATAGCCTCCTGGCAAATATCCCAGCATGAATATATTATTTTAATGAGAAATTAAAAATATTATGTCAGAGAAATACTTTCTTCTGATAGATGAAGTCAGTAACATTCACTCTTCCTCCTATGGACACCCATCAGTCTTTGCCCATATAGTCAATCTGAAGGGACAGTTCCATGAAATTAGTATACATCTCCCACAGATCCATCACACCATTTAGTATTACATGCTCGATACTTGAATTTTTTTCAAATATAAAAATAAGTTTCCAACTTTGAAAATTCCATGAATTTTTATCTAGATTACTCAGTTTAAAAAAATAGTGTACAAGTACTTAATTATTTAAGGCCATTTTAACATTTTCTAACTGCCCAAGTATCACTACTCCTGGTTAGTGGATTGTGCAGTATATAATGGGTTCTACCTAAGCTCACTTGTATACAAAGCTGAGGAATTTGTTTCGGCTAGATTTCCAATGGAAAGAGAATTGAGGGAATAAGTCACAGAGGCAATGTTAATAAGGGGCAGAAATTCAAGCTCTGATCGTACATTTTGTATCTGTATATAGCAGAGAACTTTCCAATTAGGGCCAACAAGTAGAAAGCTGGTAACTCCAAGCTGAGATTTATAGGGAGAGGTCAGCAGCCCGTAATGAGAATCAGGAGCACATACATCCAGCCGTAACACCTTTGGTATAAGCAGAGTTCTAATAGCAAAAGCTAATGGCTCCGCGGCAGTAATAAATAATGCACAGAGAATATTCTAGCCGGAGGCGTCAGGAAGAGAACTCTGGTGGCATTCTACAGTTTTCACTAATGCTAGCTGAAGGGGTTCTAACTGGGATGTTTCATTCGAACTGTACCAGACGCATGGGATGCAGAAACCACAAGAGGCCAGTGAGAACCTTTCATGGGAACTGCTTCCTTCTCTCAGTTTAACTTATATCCAGGCCCATTTCTTTTGGAGGAGAGAAGGGGGAATGGAATGAAGAAGAGAGGGAGGGATGCAAAAAAAGACAAAAGGAAGGGAGAAGGGAAGAGATGGCTTTAAAAAAATCAATACTTGACAAAATCCTCTCTTTAAACTGATTTTCATAACATTCTTGCATCTTCTCCTAAGGCCCTCTACATCTTATTTTTTTTAAAAAAATCTAGTTTTTCAAAAGAGTTTGCTGAGACAGGCTAGCAAGAGACCTTCACATTAATTACAAATTTATCAGAGTCAACAGCCACATGAGGTCTGTCTTATGACCCTAACCTTCCTTCCTTAAGAATCTGGTTAGGTTCTTCTGTCCCCCGTCTCCCCCAGTGAATTCCCACATACCTGTGCTGTCATTAGAGTCAAGGTCAACACCTCTACACCAGGGCCAGAACCACGGCAATGCTCTCTTCCTAGTACAACAGCACTGTGTTAAGCTTCCCTTATCCCATTTCTACCCATATCTTTGAACATTTTTCCTTATTAAAATAAATAATAGACATGGTATAATTCACTTGGCATGCGTTGTACATCTGTAAGTTAAATCTCAGAATGCTCATGTGGTATATAGTGTCACCAGTTGGAGGTGTTCCGCCCATGCTTCAAGGTCATCTACACACAGCTCTGAAGCGTTATATAACAGCACAGAATGGAAGCATATGACCCTACACATGTGACTCTGGGCAAGGTAAGGAACCTGGCTACGTGTGGTTCCCATATTTATAAACTAGGGTTCATGCTACTAACCACCTGCCTAGGTTATTTTTTTAAATTGTCATAATAAAAACACCATGTCAAAAGCATCCTATAGAAAAAAAAAATATTTAAAGGCTTTCAGTTCAGAGGGTGAGACTATGACCATCAAGGCAGGGAACTTGGAGATTGACAGGCAGGCATAATGTTGGAGCAGTAGCTGAGAGTTCCCCTCTGATCCACAAGCATAAGTCAGGAGAGAGTTAACTGGGAATGGGATGGGCTTTTGAAACCACAAAGCGCAACCCCAGTGACACACCTCCCACCAAAGCCACACCTCCTAGTCCTACCCAAAGAGTTCCATCAACTTTGGATCAAACATGCAAATATATAAGGCCTTATGAACCATGCTCATTCATTTTACCAGGGATCCTTTAAGAAACTTTTTTTTAACCTAACCTTAGTGGGTGTAAGTTCACCAGATGAAGTTTGAAGTTCGTGCAATAACAAAGATTGCCTAATGATGCATTTCTCAAAATGTATCCCCGTCATTGCCAACCATGACCAAGGGCTTTTCATTCCGCATGTACTAGAAATCTACTGATCTTAGTTACCTAACTGTTATCAAGGAATCACCTTAAACTTTAGGCCCTGGGAATACAAAATTATGACTTTATTGTGAAACAGTTATCATGAGAAAATAAATCTATTCAAAATTTAAGGCACATGTAGCCATACAATTTTTTTGTTTTGTTTTTGTTTTTTTGAGACAGGGTTTCTCTGTGTAGTTTTGGTGCCTCTCCTGAATCTCACTCTGTCAACCAGGCTGGCCTCAAACTCAAAGAGACCCGCCTGGCTCTGCCTCCTGAGTGCTGGGATTAAAGACGTGCACCACCGCCGTTTTTAGCCATACAAGTCTTAAAACATGTAGTCAGAGACGGACTCTGTGAGACTGCATTATTTGGCTCTGCGCTGAGTGGTTTTGTTTAATGTCAGCGGGGAGAAGAACTGACTTGATTTGAGGGCGAGAGTAAGCCAAGTCATTTCCACATGCATTGCACTAATACTCGCTTCAAGGGCACTCTGATGAAAGAGGCTTTGCCTCCCACACTCGAGATGAAGAAAGAACCTCTGAGTGTCTAAGCACATTTCTTCTTTTCACGCCACTGGTACGTGGCCAGCACTTCGGAAGCATGATCTTCCAGCTGTTTCCCCACAGCCAGGTACAAAATGTGCTAGATAGCACGTTCAAACCCACGAGAAGCAGAAAACAGGTTCCTGTTTTCAGAGCATTCCATGGGCGGACCAGCTCTTCAGCTCAATGTGAGCCTGCGGTAAGGCTGAGGCTCAGGCTCCGAGCTCGGCCGAGATGAAGCACACCGCACGGAGAGGGAGGCAGCCGCAAACAGACGTGATATCACGCCGGCTGCAGTTCAGAGGCAAATCCAAAGAGGAGAGGAGAGTTGGCTGCATGGCTTCTTACACAGCACCGAGTTCTCTCTGCTTCCTCCCTTGTTTCACCACACGCTCAGATTTAGGATGACTTTATGTTGATTTAGGATGACTTTATGTAACACAGTATCAGTTGTACAGGATGAAAAGAGAACACTACCGTGGTCAAAGGGTCTGGATAGGCACAAAAATTTAAAAAGCAAGTTTAGCACGCAATGAGTTCTTAAGATTTTAATCACTTAATGAGAACTATGAAGATCCAAAAGGAATACAATTTTCTGGTTGGAGTCCTTGAACTGAGCCTCAGTGAAGAAACTGGAATTAGAGATGTCCAGCAAGAACAAGATGGATACAGATTACATG